AGAGAGAGAGAGAGAGAGTCCTGTTTATTGCGTAAAATATTCAAATAGAGAAATAGAAGATAACCCCTTAGCGACGAGTTTTTTGCGTTTTCCTCAAAAACCAAGCTGTCTGATTTTGAACCATTTGTTTAGAGTGATTTACGTTCTGTCCTTATTGTTTTTAAAATACACGAAATGCTCTTTTTATCAGCATTTTTTTTATTTTCTTTAAAATTATCTCTTGGTCGGAGGATTTTATTTTATTTTATTTATTTTGTTAGTTTTATTTATAATTTTAATTGAATTATAATTTTCATTTCCCTACTAATGAAAAATTTAAATTCTATTTGAGAATGGAATCTTAGAGTGATCGAACAGCAGATAGATAGATGCGACCAAGCGAGCGAGCAGGCGGCACAAGCAATACAATACTAAGGCTAACCGCGTAGGCAAAGCCGGGTCGAAGCATGAGCAAGGCATGGTACCAAGAACCCATACTATATACCAAGCGCGCTTATCGGCTACCGTCAAAGCCATGCCATGCGCCTATCTAGCCCATGCTAGCTTATATCGGGTTAGCTAGCTTCTTATTGACATTAATTACAAGAGTAATTTTGAAAAAAATAAAAAAACTTGGGTTGACCTACTTTCTTTGCAATTTTTAATTATAAATTGAGCATTTTATATTTTAGAAAAAAATTTACGATCCATTTGTAAATCACTCTTATTTTGTTTAAGTAGTTAACTTTTTATAGAGTTATCTAAGGAAAAAGAGGTAAAGCCTCATCTTAAAAATCACTTAAGGTTGTAATTCAGTCCAAAAACCTTCAAATCAATCATTTCAACTTTGACTATTATGATTTATATATATATAAAAAGAATTTCAAGTATTAAAATTAGTGTGCATTGTAATACATTATCTAAACCGTCTATTTCGCTCTAAAAATAAGTGTAACAGATCTACAAGATTTATACTATTTTTTTATCTTCAAATTTCATACTTGAGAAATTGATTTTAGAGCTATCATAGACATTTTCAATTGGCCATAGGGCTTTTTGGTTGAGAATTCCGTTGAGTCTTTACTTTGTTTTTATACAGCCTAGGCCTAATAGAAACTACATCCATTTTGAAACTAAATTTTAACATAGATAAAAGGTTAAATAGTTCATGCATTTGGTACATTTTGGTAAATTTGTATAATATCATCATCATCCTCATCAAAGTATTTTTTTAACTATTTGAGTTCGGTTGCATAAATCATGGTCTGCCGTTATGTTCTATTACGGGTCATACCTCAGTGCGACCCTAAGTCGTAAAGGGCCACGCCTCAGTGCCATTATAGCATTTTGCTCTATCAAGGGTCGTACTTCAGTGGTTTCTATAAAGCGGAGACTCTAAACCATCAAAGTAAGGCACACTTTCAAATATTGTCGAAAGATGTTGTTTCAATACTGAAAATCTTTGTAATGGCTTAAAACATAGAGTAGATTGAACAGATCTATGAACACTTGAAAATCTTGAAAATTGACAGTCTACAAATACATTATAAAATTCACTATTTCTAATACTTGAAATCCTTTTTTTTTTTTAAAATGTCCGTACATATTGAGGTTAAGATGATCAATTTGAGGAATTTTGAGCATTGAAGCAACTTTTTCTAATGAATTTTTGAGGTGCGCCCTAACTTGATTGTTTAGACTTTAGAGCTTCAAAATTATATAAACTTTTTCCAATTTAAGTAGGGATTGTAACTTACGAGAGTATTTATTTTTGGTACAAGAAAGTCACAATCATTCTTAATTATTGGATGTGATATTTAATTGATTGAATTGGGGTCATAAAATTCAAAAACTTTTATTTTGAACATTGTACCTAATCAGTATCTATCCACAACCACCGGATTTCACATCCAATGGTCAATAATAGTTGTGATATCCATGTACCAAAAATAAATAGTCTTACGATATACATTTCCTTTTCAATAACTCATTATTCTCTTCATCAAATTTCCAATAGGATGCATCAAATGAATTTGGAACATCCATATATGTTCATATAATAAATGGAAAAGTATGTATTAGCACTAACCCCTATATTATAAGAGTATGCTTTAAAAACCGCCTCAATAAAAAGGTTGTTTTGACATTGTTGTATGGATATGGAAAAAAGATTTTCAAGTTTTAAAAATAATATGTATAACAATCATTATTATCAAGTTTTTCAATTATTTATAAAATATGCTTGATGTATATTATTTTTGAAACTTTAAATTTCATAATTAAAAATGAAAATAGATTTTTTTTAATATTTTAGTATTTTTAAAGTAGGTCTAAAGGTGTGCATTGATTTGCTTCTAAAGGTGTGCATTGATTTGCTTCATAAAGTCAACGCCTTAAGTAAGCCACATCCACATTTCCACAAAGACATAGAATTTAATAAGAAATAAGGAATTGGAAATCAAATAAAAAAAACTTCCCATTAAATGAACATTTTGCTCCTTTTGTCTACTCCATTGTAAATTGAATTCCTAACCTATTAGCAGATCAAGTTTTCAAAATAATAATAACAATATAAAGGAAAATGGTTTCATAGGGCTGCAATCGTATCAAAATAAGCAAAGCCTCACCTCATAACTCATTGAAAGTTGTAATCCAAGCGTTAGAAAACCTTTACATCTATCATCTCGACTTGAACATTATGGTTGTGAAAAAAATTAAGATTTCATGATCTAAAAATAGCATATATTGTAACAAATTAGCTGGACCGTTCATTTCACCCTAAAATAAGTGTTCATATATCCGCAAAATTTGTAAATTTTTTTAGTTTCAAATTTTATTGTTGGTGTCAGAAATTGATTTTAGAGCCATAACGGAGTTTTATGTGGTTGAAAGTGCTTTTCAGATGAAGATTTGAGATGAGGCTTTATTTTGTTTTTATAAAGCTTAGGCTTTATAGAAACTCCATCCTTTCTTTTACCTGCTTAAAATCGATGCCATAGGATTGGGCATAGGTTTGAATGGATATTAGCCACACTAAATCACAAGTTCAATTCCAACCGTTGAACTGTATAGGGAAAATAAAGTAAAAAAAGCAGCACCCATTCTATAAAATATAGAATTTTTTCTTTTTACATTATTATTACATAATTATGAAACTAGCATGAAAGTTATAGTTAACTAAGTAAACTAAAGCAATGCCATTTGATTCGTGATATTCATTTCTTGTGAATAAAAAATGAAAAATATGAAGAAGTCGATTTTTAAAAGGAGCAAAGCCCATAATCACCAGAGAGAAAAAAAAAATGGAAGGAAAATTTTCAAAACATACCGAATTTATCTACTATTTATTTAATTACAATTATTTGATGGACTTTCTTAATTAAATTAAAGGATATGGTTAAATATTAAATAGTTGATCTCTTGGATGAATTTTGTTAAATTTTCCAAAAAATAACCATTGACATTTGAGTTGAGCCCCATACCTAATTTATCAACTATTTTTCTAATTACAATTATTTGATGGACTTTCTTAATTAAATTAAAGGATATGGCTAAATATTAAATAGTTGATCTCTTGGATGAATTTTGTTAAATATTCTAAAAAATCACCATTGACATTTGAGTTGAGCCCCATGTCTTTTGTAATAACAAACACAGCTCTTGTATGCGAAATCGGATGGTTTAGAATTATTTACCCATGAGAAGTCTAAAAAATTTTCTTAATATTTGTGCCTGCACAATTACACACCCATTTGATTTCACATTTAACCGAAAAACGTGATTATAACCTTCTTGTGCCATAAATAAACCATCTTGTTATAAACTTTCCAATATTTTCGAGTTTTTAATTCAAAAAACTATTTTAAACAATTTTTTTTTTTGCCTCAGTAAAGGTAACTGAGATTATCTCAAACAAGTATATCAGTGTTTTAGTCCCTCTTACATGCAAGGGCTTTGGTCCCAGGTCTGATATCTTGCTTACCGCTCCGATTTAATTTTTGTGAGATTACCTGTCAAGTTCTATTTATAAATCAAGATATTTATGAATCAAGAAAGTACTTTTCATACCAATCCAATTCGCTTTAGAGTTTTTTTTTATTTAGTGAAAAAAATGAAGCAATTCAGTGCTTGGGTCAATTTGAAGGACGACTTCAAGTTTTTTTTTAATTTAATACAAATAAATATCTTATTTATATATAAAAATATATAAAAAATAATGAAAAATAAAAAAATTCAAAAAATACTTTTATATAGATATTTCTTTACTTAAGTTGAAGAGGCCAAAGCTATAGCTGAAGCAGACCCGAATCTGACTGAAACGGCCTAAATCTGACCCGAACAACAACACCAGGCTTCGCTTCGCTTTGGTCTAAGCGTAAAATCTGAAACCTTCGGCCAAAGAAGGTCCATACAGTATTTTGGTAGAATTTGGTTTCAAAGTGGTCGTTCAAAATGCTTACTACATGGTTGTATGCCATTACTCCAAACCCAAGTTGAGATCCCAATTCAAACAGGATAAAATTTGAGTACCTACGCCAAATCCGATACACTTCAAGCAAGCTAGCAACAGGTTGCTAGCAAAAGAATTAGAGTGTTAACTCTTATGTTGTAAGAAATAAATAAAATAAAATATATCGACATAACCAAGAAACCTGCCCAAAACTATACTCCCTGTTCACTCACTTGCATACCTCCATTTTCCCATGTCAAATACAGGAATAAAAATAAAAAAAAAAGGAAAAGGAAATTAGACATATTTGGCATCCCAAAAAGAAGGAAAAGGAAGATTATAAACCTTATTCATGCTTTCCCAGATGTTTTCAAGGGTTTCCACTGTTAGTTTGACTCTCTCCCTTCGTCTTTGCCATCTCCATCTCTCTAGTTTGCTCTCGAGTTTGTCGACCTTCACTACTTGAGGCCGACGGGTTGAGGCCATAGTCACTGGTTGGATTGCTATATTCACTGCTTCCATAGTCTTGGCTTGCGAGAGCCATTTTTCGAAACTTTTTCATGTCTTCATTGTACATTCCGGAGTCATAATCAGAGCTGCCATAGCTGTAGACATGGCTATGTCCTGGCCTAACACCCTCATTTAGATCGTCAAGGGATACATCCCCTTCCAAGGCCCGAACTATCTGCATGGTTCCAACTCAGGGGTCAGGGGCCATCTAGAGATGTCTCTCTCTCATATACAACACACAAACACAACAAATGAACCCAGAGTCCCATACACACAGTGGATCATGAACCCGTCTCTCTCTCTCACACACACACACACATACAGAGGTTCATCACTTTGTAGCCCTTCTCTCTCTCACACGTGCTCATGACCCTCTCTCTCTCCAATACACATCTATCTTCCTCTTTCTCACACACACAGACATGCTCATAATCCTCTCAATCTCTCAAACAAATATACATACACTCATCATGCTCTTTCTATCACACACGAAGGTTCATGGTTCTCTCACACAAATACATATACTCATCATGCTCTCTCCCAAACTCACACAAATACATATACTCAGCATGCTCTCTCCCAAACTCACACAAATACATATACTCATCATCCTCTCAGGTTTCTGTAGACTTTTTCCATCTAATTCAAGTTCAAAACAAGTTTTATGCTCTAACACAAATGCATACATGCAAGCACAAACTGAGAGAGAGAGAGAGAGATCTTACCTGGCTCATTCGAGGCCTCCTACGAGCAGAATGACGTACACATGCAGCAGCACAGGCGACCATTCGCCGCATTTCGTTGATGGGGAAGTTGTGCAAACGTGGATCAACTAGAGAGTCGAAATTGCCCTCCTCAAGTGCCCGCAATAGTAATGGTCTCGCCTGATTATTAAAAAACCCATTTAGAAATTCCAGTATTTTCCCCCCTAAGAAATTGAATGCATTAATCTCAGTCAATTTCTAATAAAAAAGGGAAAATTTCAACTAATGCATAGCTAAACTTTGAAAGAAAGAATTTTGTCCCAAGTATTTTTGTTTTATAAAGAGAAAGGCAATCAAGAAACTAACCCAATCAACCAAGCTCTCGTCCATGAAGCATTGAGAGCTATCAACAGGTCGACGCCCTGTGATCAGTTCAAGAAGCATAACTCCATATGAGAAAACGTCCGACTTCTCTGTGAGTTTGCCACTGGATGCATATTCCGGGGCCAGGTACCTGTGTATAGGTATAATGGAATCATGCTTTTGTTTATCAAGTAATAATCACACCTTAGTTATCAAGTAAACAAAAACCATGATTCTTTTGCAAGTAGAATATATAATTACAATACAGCATGTGTTCTATAAATGAAGAAATTGAATTAAAATTAAAAAAGAAACAATGCACTGATCATAAAAGTTATATGATCTCAAACCTAAAATGTGCATGCAATGATCCAAAAAGTAAATAAGTCAAATACACAAAATGTAAAAAAACAATATTGCATGTGAAAGGCAAAAGTTTAATACAAAATGAGAGTTAGATGTACACAGAATCAACAGCCTTCCAAGTATTACTTAATTCTGAACAGTGCAATGAACTACATAGAATATGGAAGGTGTGACCCATGGGTCAAGGGTTGGTCCTAACCCAAAAGTTCCCATCACTCTAGTGGAAACGTGAGTGTTGTTGTCTGTAGAAAGCTTTGCAAGTCCAAAATCTGCAACCTGCACAAGGAAAGTAAAGGTCTAGTTCTTAAATTGTACAATAAAACATACATTGCTTACAAGAAAAGCAACTAAAGAGTGATCTGCCTTTTTGTCAAATGATGATTGATAAAAGAAAAACGGGATCTTCAAACTTTTACATAGAATAGAAAACATATTTCTCGACTTCAGCTTGTTTCTCAACTCATTCAGAGATGAGACAAGGATATATGGAAGTGTTTGCACAACAAAGAACTGCCATATATTACAATCATACCATGGCTTCAAATTTGTAATCAAGAAGAATGTTAGCCGCCTTGATATCACGGTGGATAATCCGCGGATGACCTGCAAACAATCAACACACAATGAATACTACAGTTGTAAGTTGTAACATACAAAACAACCTCAATATAAATGACCAAGAGCAAGAGCTCACAGTCCTCATGGAGATAAGCCAATCCCTTTGCTGACCCCAATGCAATTTTAAGTCTTGTTGGCCATTCCATAGTTGGTCTCCCCTTTCCTACAACATACAAAACCCACATAATACATAATGAATCAATCAACGAATTTGTTTGAACAAGAAAAAGCATCAAGGAAAAGAACAAATTTCTCTTTTAAAAACTGAAGATCATAGAATGATAAGAATTCTTACCATGTAGATGGAACTCTAGAGTGTTGTTGGGAACAAACTCATAGACCAGCATCCTCTGTCCACCGGCAATGCAATAACCAACCAATGACACCAGATGTCGATGGTGAACTCGACTAATAATCTCCACTTCTGCCTGAAATTCTCGCTCTCCTTGCCCACTACCCAACTTCAATTGCTTCACTGCAACCTCTCTACCATTAGGGAGCACCCCTTTGTGCACATAGCCAAAGCCACCTTGCCCAAGAAGATTCGCATTTGAAAAACCATTTGTGGCTACGGCCAATTCTTCATAGGTAAAGGTGCTCTTCGAGAAACCAAAGGTGAGGCCCGGTGAAAGTGGTGGGAGTTGGTTCTCAGAGCCTGAATAATTGGACCCTGAACCTCCACTACTAGTTATGGGTGGTGGGGGAGGAGGTGGTGGCTGGGGTGGCCTTGAAGAATAGACAGGAGGGGGTGAAGGTGGTGGGGGGATTTTTACTACGTGGTCCCCTGGTGGTGGGGCATTGTGCTGCCAGTTTTGCGGAGCACCACTGTAAGGGTCAGCTGCAAGGATTGAATGTCATTCTAATGAATAAAGTGCCGCATATTTTTGTATCTAGCATTGCTCTGATTTACCCAGTAGATTAAATAGACACATATATACCTTTATTACGGCAAATGAGGGATAGTTTTACTTTCCAAGCCAATGTACTGACTTTGTAGTTTGTACTGCGGTCAGTTCTAAATTTGCAAAACTCATGTGAAGTTTGTTTTCCTTTTTTTTTAATTAAAATTGATGACAGGCTGATAGCTTTGAAGCTCATATGTACTTTTTAGCCGATTGAAAACTTGTCTGAGTCCACTCGGACTCAGCCAAGTTACTTGGAATCAGCTCCTTGCTGAGCCGAGTAAACTATGGTGCAAATTGGGCAATTTAAAAAAATAAAAAATCATTAGAAGTTATATAAATATGCGGAATCAATGTATAAAAATTATATATCTGATCTGGATGTTTTTTTCAATGATTTGTGAGTTTTTCTCATATGCCCTATTTTTTAACCTCCCTTTTTTTGGATTTTTCTAAAATGTCTCCAACCATAAATCAATATTTTCTAAATCCATTATATATATATATAAAGTTTTTTTGGACTTTTTATGCTGTCTTTGAGTTTGTTCCACTTTCAAAAAATTTATTTTAGTTTTAAACCATATTTTATGTCTTATTTTTTAGAGCCTTTTGGGCCCTGCACACTAGTCGGTTGAGTCTGGACTTGGCCAAATAACTCAGCTCAGTCCAAGGCCTGAGCTGAGTTTAAAACCATTGGTAATTTCTAAAGTAAATAGCAAATTATATCATTCTACGAGAATTCCTCTGAGCTTCAATTAGCAAGTACAAATTCTCAAGTCAAGACCATTTCAAATGAATCAAAATCTAAAACCCCTACTTAAATAAGCGATATACAGAAATACAGATTACAAACACAATTGAATGATTGTTCGTCCTGATCAGTCTTACACATATTCATCAGTCATGACAATATTGATACTTTGCATCGGACAGGACATACTTGCTATCCCATGTGAGGGGTGGGACCGGACTTTTTATGTGGATGTTCATGCAATCAATGCCTCAAATTATGGCTCTATGGGCTAGTAAAGCATGTCTGATATCCTGAATTATATATTAAAAAAGCCACCTGATTCATATAATAGTAAAAAATAAAATATAAATAAAGACAATTGTGGGTGAGAAATATTTCCAAGGAATTAAATATCTATGATGAACAAGGTTTCTTTTAACCTGGGTAGTCCATCTAAAAGTGCATTGCACATGCAACAAACTACCACTGCCAGAATCAATGGTATTTATACCAATCAAAAGTATGCAAAAGAATTGAAGGCATTTCTATATTTACTGTAAAGCTGATTACTTCCTAGATGGATGATCCAGATTCCTTCAAAATAAAGCATGCTTTCTTTGATAAGAGGGGTCCATTCAAACCAAACAATTAATAAAAATAAAAATATGCACGTGCCTGTCCACATGCCTCAAGACATTTAGATTGGCAGCAAACTAATGCCTACCAATTGCTCTTTGAGTAAGGAAAAGACCAGAAACCACATCCAAATCAAGACAACAAGAACACACAAACAATGGACAATTTTTTGAAAATATCAGGAGAAAGAAAAAAATGTTATGAGATGGCATCCGTTATAGATTTAATTCCGGTTGAAATGATAGCACTGCATCTTTCCACATCACTAAAATTTACAAGATGGTTTTTTCTCACTGGAAGATAGCGAGACCTACAACACGTGTGAAACTTTTGGAAACACCCAAAAATTCACAAAATCTTCACCTTTTTCATTAACAGAATGCAAGTAAAATATTTCAAACCTTGCATCTTTCAACAAAAAGGAGAAAAAACACATTTTTTTTAAGATGAATTGTTTCTATTTTATTAAGCAGTCCACAGCAACATCCTTTGAAATTCATAAGATTGTAAATGGCAATTGGTAATCACAAATAAACACAAATGCAAGTGATTAGAATTTACATTTACAAGGAACAAAGGAATTCTCAATCATTCTTGAAACCTTCAAAATTTCTGCGGATCATAGCATTCTGACAAAAAATGAAAAGAAAATTTCTCAAAAATTAAAAGAAAAAATCTACCAAGCAGAAATCTAAGGAAATCCCACAAATAGAAGGCAAAAATCATGTCCAAGGAAAAAAAATCAACAATCAATAAAGAAAAGGTTTAAAAACTATTGGGTTTCATATTAAAACTGAAATGGCTAACTCTAATGGAACTCACAATATGAATATCGAACTAGTAGTCCGAATCAAGATTGAAGGCAAAATCCTTTACGTTTTTCTTGTTCTAGATTGTAACTGTAAACCTCAGATTCTTATCAAATCCAAACGCTAGGCCTCAAAGGCAAAGGCTTGCAGTGTATTTGATATCATGAGAGTTTGAAATACACAAGGGTTTTCAGTGCCCAAAATGGAATCAAAAGAAATTTCCATAAAAAATAAGAAACCATGAAAATTAGATGAAAACACATGAAAAGACGACGACAAAAACCCCGAGGTGAGGAGAGAACGCACCAAAGTGAGATAAGGAATAAACACAAAACAATATGAGAAGGAAAAATAAAAAAACAACACAAAGAAGACAAGGCAAAGACCCAAAATCAGATGGAAAAAGAAAACAGAGAAAGAAAAAATGGCACAGGTCTGAGTTTACAGTACCTTTAGGAGGTGGGGTTGGATGGCCATAATAAGGTGGTGGATAATCATGCCTTCTCCTCTTCTTCTTGCAACATATGAACAACAAGCTGGCAAAAACCAGCAAAACCACCCCTGCAACTGCAACTCCCACCACCAATCCAACTGGAACTGAAGAGGAACCCGAATCAGAGGATGAAGGTGGTGGTGGTGGCGATCGAGTAGTGGATGGAGGAGATCGGTCAGTTGAAGAAGGAGGAGGAGGTGAAGAAGAAGAAGGAGGAGATGGGGGAGAAGAAGAAGGAGGAGTTGATGTATCAGGAGGAGGAGGGGATAGAGTCGCAGGTGGTGGAGGATTTGAAGAAGGAGGAGGAGATGGGTTCGAAGGAGGAGGAGGAGAGGTGGAGTTTGAAGAGGGAGGAGGAGGAGAAGTGGAGTTTGAAGAGGGAGGAGGTGCGGATGGCGTTGATGGAGGTGGAGATGAAGCCGGTGGCGAGGGTGGAGAAGGCGATGGAGTAGGAGTTGACATTGATGAAGTTTACGAGCTCTACTGGTCCTGTAACTGCTTTATAAATGGATCCAGAAAAAATGGAGGAGTTTTGATGAAGTTCACTGGTTTAAAATGGCAGGTAGATGTTTTTTTCAGAGATTCAACCAAAAAAGATCAGATTTTGAAGAACTCGGAATCCTAGCAGTTTGATACCCAAAAATGACCGAATTCAAGCGAGCTCCAAAACCTAACGAATTTATGGAAAAATCTAACAATATACTGCTGATTAGTAGGCGATTCAGTCCAGCCCTGCAGCGCTAAACCAGTGCAATACCATCGATCCTTTGGTGCAAAGTTCTGGCTAAAATGAGCACAAGAAGCTGGAAAATAACAGAAAGAGAAAGTAAACGTATAGACAACGCCGGATTCCAGCAGTTTCGCCGGAAAAATAGAATTTTCCGGCTAGCAAAATAAGAGGAGTTTCAAAGGAGGGCCGCCATTAAAAGAGTAGAGAGACAGATAGAGACCCAAATTCCTCGGATTCTCATTAATTTTTTTCTCTTTCCTATAAACAATATTCATTTATTAAATGTCCGGCTTCTTTCCTTTTTTTGTTTTTCGACAGTTCAGTGGAGTGTAAAAGAGGACTTTTTCTTTTTCTTTCCCTTTCTTTTTTTTTTTTTCTTTCTCATTCTTTATTAAGACCATCAAAAGAGGACTATACTTTCTCAATTAGGTGTGGTTTGTTTAAGACATAGCCCCTAAACAACCAAAGTAAGCCGCACCTTCAAATAGTATCATTTCAATATAAATTTTTTTTATGATGGTGATCTAAAAATTTATTTTTATATTTAATTGTAAAATTTAGATCTTCAAAAATAATACAGATTAAATAGATCGATAAACACTTAAAATTCTTGAAATTTGATAGTATAGATAATACATTACAAGATACACTATTTTTAATACATTATTCTTTTAATATTTAAAATCCATTTGTTCTTAGGTCCATGTATCTTAAGGTTGAGATGATCTAACATCGAAACGACTTCTTCTAGTGAGTTTTTACGCTGCGTCTTAATTTGATTGTTTAGAACGTCAACCTTATCTAAACTTCTTTTTTTTTTTGGGTGAGATGCATCCTTCTTACACACCACATTCTAAAAATGGGCTCAACAATATAATTCCAATTTGGAAACCTTGTGATAGTTTTAAAATCTATTTCTCATCTATACAATTTAAAATTTTAAAAATAATATTGATGGAATATTTCTATAAATATTTCAATTTTTTGAAAATAAATTGTCGAAATACACTATTTTTAAAACTTCAAATTTATTTTTCTTCGTATTGCACAAATTCAGGGTGGAGATCAATATTTTCGAAGATTCTTAAATATCATAATACTCTCTTCTAGACACCTTAACTTTGGATAAATCTCTTAGTTTATTTTATTTATTAAACTATAAAATAGGGAAACTCATCATTAATACATTGTATAATTTGTGGAAGTATAAATATTTTCTATATTATTATTGTTTGATTATTATTATGTATTTTATTACAATTTGCAATACCTAAATATGCATTTTGGACTTTGGGTTTTAACCAGCTTAGAGGGGTGGACCCCACACGGTTTTCTAAGTTTTTTCTTCTCATCATTTTGCTGGGTTTCTCCACTTGTGGCTTATCAAGTTTTTAGTAATCCACCCACTGTTTTAATTCTTTAATTTGGGTCACTTTTGTATTTGTATGATTGGCTGCCTTGCCGGGGTTTGAGGGGTGTTGACTTGGTCCAGGCTAATTTGGTTTTTAACGGCGGATTTTTAGGAATTTATTTTAAAATATGTTAAATTGATAGAATAAGTTTGAATCCCGAGAAAGAGGTTGGGTCATGTTGGTAATATTGGTAATACTCGTATACTTAGTTACTGTTTTAATAGTAACGCTTTTATATTTAATTACTACGTTGTGGTTTTCAATTCTACTGATAGCATCAATTTTAAAAAAAACTTACTTTTAATGTTATATGAAGAATTGGATAAAATTTGTCTTCTCCACTAAATTACCCATAAAAAATAAAAGAAAAAAAGTCTACGAGGCTTGGAATTGATGGACACAAGTAAGACTTCAACTCAAAACCTCACGTCAGTGCAAACCTAGCAAAAGAAATTTTCAAATTCATCGTCTCAATCTCAATAGCTACAGATATGGATTTCAAGCACTACAAATAATATATATTATTAAATATTATCTAAGTTGTTTATTTTCAAATGATTGATGATCCCCAACATTTGCACTAATTTTTTAACTTAAAAAATTTGAAGCGGGAGTATATCTTTGAGTTGTTATGGGGTTCTTGTTGTATATTTTTTGGTGAGCTTTTAAGGTATGGCCTTGCTTTTTTTTGTAAAACATCGGCTTTATACTAGCAATCATCACCATCATCATCTGAGTTTTATCTCAATTATTTAGCATCAACAGTGTTATGGTAACCACACTTTTAATTTTATTCATGATAAAATAAATTATTTATTAGACAATTATTTTGTAGGGCTGCAACTTTATAAAGACATAAAAATCTTACTAGAAAATGCAATTTTGATGCCAAAAAACCTACTAATTGATACTCCACCTCACAATTATAGGTATTAACCAAAACAAAAAAAATCTAAAATTGGTCCATCTTGGACGGAAAAAGAAGCACTTAAAATAGTCCATCTTGGACGGCCCTGCCTAATTGATATGAAATAATTTATAAAAAGGTCAAGGCTTTGAAAGAAAAAGTAAAGTTGCATTGGAACTCTATGCAAAAATGTTTCCATCACCCAAGAACACTTAAGTTGATGAATTCCTCCTTGACATTTATGGTATGAAAATTTAAATGAGTTTCAAGCCCTAACATAATGTATTTTGTAACATATTATCTAGAATGTTTAGTTTCAAGTGTTCACATAATGTATTTTGTGACATATTATCTAGAATGTTTAGTTGCAAGTGTTCACAGATCCGACAAACTTATAAATTCTTTTAAGTTTTTAACTCCAAACCCCATAATCAAGTTCAAGTTAAATTTTAAGTTATCATGAGGATTTTTTATGCAGCAGTTGCCTTTTTTAGCTGGGGTTTATTGTGTGGCTTTATTTTTTAACTTGTGCCTTAAGCACACCATATTTAGTATTGCTATTATTTAGTACATTATCTTAAGAAAAAATTATGGATATAGTTCGAAGTAATGAAAAAGATATAGGGATTTATAGCCTCACTGAGAGTATGACCCTTAACACAAGAAAATGATAGACTAGGATTTGTGCCGGCTTGGAAAAGGACTATGTGGATAATGATGATGATAGTTTTAAAGAAAATTTTAACATAACATGATTCGTGTATCCGACCCCAAAACAATAAATAAATACAAGTTAGACATGTATAGATAGGGCACTTGATTTGTATAGCTTAGTTTCGAGCATTCCTTTATAGCCATTTAGATTCATATAAACAAAGCATGAGTTTGCACGTGCATGAGTGAGAATCTTGTGCGCACATTCATATAGGAGTAATTTTTTAGGCAGCTAGTGAAAAGGGTTTTCTATCTATGGTAATAGTGGAACTGAAGATGTCACGTTGTGACATCCTGCCACTTAAACCACTAAGCCTTGAGCCCATTCTTAGTTTAGGGGGAAGTAATTCATGAAATTGTGACTTTATAGAATCTCGTATCGAATCTCTTTGGAAAACTCATTTATAGAGTTATAAACATACAAAATGATAATCTCAACCCTTGGGGATCATAGATTTGAAAGATAAATGGATTGTAGATCCCAAAATTTTCCCACTTTGTAATAGATTAATTTGAACAATTTAAGTTTTTATAGATATGGGAGTCTTGCGCCTTGTTTTAACTTCAAATTTCACGGTCAAAGGTGAATATGGACCTGAATGCCATCACAAGATTTTTCTTGATGCATTTGGAGATATGGCCTTACATATTTCATAAAGCATTAACTTTGTCAAAACCTTCATGCTTTTATTATTCTTCATGGTGGTAAAAGGGCAACAATCGTGCTTTATTGTCTAATGTGCAATGGCATCCCCATTGTTTGGGGAATGGAATCATGATAAAGGTGGTCAGAGCAGTGATTGCGTCTCAGTTCTATTTTATGAGGTTTTCATATCATTATCATTCGAGCATTATCTCAACTATTTGAAAGTGGTTACTATTGGGTTTGGTGATAGCCAAATCACTATACTCATATTTTTTTAAAAAAATTAAGAGTATTATGATAAAAATAGAAGGGAATTTATTAAGAAGCAAGAAATTGATATTTTTATAAGAGAGTTAAAGAAGACATAATATCCATCCTTCTGAAGACGGCATGCAGTATTGGTCGTGCTAGCTTGAATAGTGGAGGGGTGGGGCAAATCACCGTCTGGTAGAACGAGCTTGATCCCATGGCGGAAGTGGTCTTTAAGATAGACATGACCTCCTAGATAGAGGAGGTAGTCTTATGAAGTTTTGGATTGATTTAATATTTCACTTCTAGATAGATAAAGTTTATTGATTGCTCTTTAAGTTATATTTTTGGAAGCGGTATTGCGGTGGGAAAGAAGATATTGATCGACGGTGTTGCTCGATTGGTAGAGCAGGTTTAGAAAGGAAGATCGATAAGGGGTCTTTACTAGTGTTAGAGAGAGGTATATCTCTTGTAATCCAAAATTGTAATCTTCATTGTGATAGTAGATTTCTAGTTGCCAATACTGTTGATGTAGCCCTACGGGGTAAACCATATAAATCATGTGTTATAGTAGTATGTTTTTTTTATGTTTTAATTCTCGCACTCGATTTATAATTGTACTCATATACTTTGGATTTAGCCAATCATATACACGATATTGGGTGGGAACCCGGTATTTGGGATTCTCGGTTCCACAAGCAAGGGGTTCCCAATAACCCTACAACTACACTATATGATTCTTATTTTGCCATTCCGCTTTACCCCATACTTTTAGTCGATCATAAGTCATCGTATCTCTTTTCACTATTTATATATATATGCCCTTTTGGCCATTCTCCTTGCTCTTTCACGGTCTTTCGAATAAACCAAATTTCCCTACTCAAATGGTACTATTCTAGGTTGATGCTGCATATGACCAAACCAATTAAGTTCACTTTTCCTCATTTCATCATCAAATAGAACTACCCCCGAGGTTCCCATATAACATTCAAAATAAAACACTCTCTCCCACTAAAACTTTCTCTCTAATGTTGTCTAGTCTAGGGGTGGCAATGGGTGGGACAGTGATTGGGTACCAAAAAATATATTTAAATATTATGTTAAATATATATATGTATTATTTAAATATTATAACTTGAAAATATATAATTATATTTATTTAAATAATAATAATATTATATATTAAATATTATTTAAATAATAACACTATTCGAGTGTGGGTCTAGGACGAAGTTGTATCTACATAGAGCCGGGCCCAAACCCGAATAAGGTTTGGAACCCATACCCGGACCGGAGTCCATCGCGACCCCTAGTCTAGTC